GTGTGTGTGTGTGTGTGTGTGTGTGTGTGTGTGTGTGTGTGTGTGTGTGTCAGCGCTGACCTGCAGTGCTAGCACTCTGTGTCTGCTAGGCAAGCCTCTCGGCTCCACTTCAGCCCCTTCATTACCTCACTCTAAGAAATTTTGGGCCAGTAAGATGGCTCAGTGGACAAAGGTACTTGCAACCAAGTCTGATGACCTCAGTTCTGTCCCCAGGGTAAGCACAGAGAAAAGAGAGCATCAAGTCCTGAAAGGTGTCCTCTGGCCTTCACGGGTGTGCCATGGCCCACACGTGTAATCAGCATAAAAGAGAAAAAAAAGTTTCCTCAGCCACCACCCCGGTCAGACGGAAGCTGTCCACACCAAGTCAAGACCCTCCAATTCCTACTCTTTCAGTAAACTATCTGCCTAAACCTCGTATGTTTTCTAATTGGTTTATTAACGTTGAAATTAAGAGCACACGTGTGTGCCACCATGCCTGGCTCTTGAGACAGAGTCTTCTTATGTTCCTGGCTGGCATGGAGCTCACCATGGAGAGACTCGTGGAGCTCTGCCTGCCTCCGCCTCCGGTAGGCCGGAATTACAGGGGTGCACCATACCCGGCCTGCTTCTTGATTTTTAAATCTTATTTGGTGAGCTTTTCATCCCAGTAACAGAATTGCATAAATGTTTTCAATACTGACTAAGTATAATTTCTGGGTTTTTTTCCCCCCTTGGGTTACACCATTAGTAAAATGTTTCAGAGTGCATCCGAACACTAGGTCACCAGGACTATGTCTGCTTTCTCTTTGAAAAGCTTTATTTTCAGAATACTTTGTTTGCTGTATTGAGATGAAGTTCAATTGCTGCCAACACTTAGCTGTGGCTCGTCCCTCAGAGGCTGGTGGGCTGGAAGGCCGGTCCTCAGGGGACAGCACCGAGGCGGCAGAAGCTTTAGGGGTGGCGCTCCCACAGAGCTGCACCCTCCTGAGTGGCCGACGCAGTCTCACAGACCGGATCAGGTGTGGAGAAGGAATAGGTGCGCAGGACGTACTTAACCGCCCAGCCATCTGTCTCTCCAGCCCTCGGCTTTTCGAATGATAACTGGCTCTTCTGTTAATATATTTGGGCAAAATATATAGATCTAGATGTTGTAGAGAAACGTTTTCATCAAAAACTTGTAATGTTAACATTTTTATTAATGTAAACATATATAGGGTGACTATGTTATAGAAATATAAACATATACATTTCCTTCACTTTTATAAATGCAAATGACTTTTTATGTAGGTGGAGCAAAGAGAAAGGGACGAAGCACAGACAGAAGGTACTTTTTTTTTTTCAATGAATTGTTAGAAGTCTTACTGTGTAGCAAATATTTTCTTAAATCTTAAAAAATAAACAGGTGCCACATCAGGGCCACCCAAAACTACACGGAGAGACACGGTCTCAAAATAACAACAGCAATTGGGGAAGGAGGGAGGTAACAAGAGTTCAGTTGCCCAAGGAATCCAGAGACGGTGGCAGATGCCACACAGCCAGTTACAGGTGGATTTAAGCCACATGACATGAATTTGGGAAAACAAATGTAGGCCCTTCACAATGCTCTTAACCACCAAGCCTTGTCTCCAGCCCCAAGAAACCACTGTTTTTATTATTATAATTACATTTCTCCATGCCCTTTCCTCTCTCCAAATTCTCCCATACACCCCTCCCTAATTTCCTTCCAATCTAAGACCTCTTTTTTGTTATCGAATATCTATATATTTATACGCGTATACATACATTTTGCTAACTATAACCTGTTCTAGTCCGTGCTACTTGTATATATGTTTTCAAGGCTGCCCACTTGGAAGTGGACTACCAGTTGGCATGCTCCTTCCCGGGACAGGGCCCCTCTCCTCTTCACCGATTTTGTATTTTCTATAAGTTCCCTGTGTGTCGAGGCCTTTTCCCTGTCTGCTCGGCCGTATGCACTGGTTTCATCCTAGTTCAGCTCAGGGTTGGGCAGTCATGTTGGTGAGACTTTCTGGCTGCAGCCTCAGACATTCCAGGAGACACAGTCTCACAGCAAACTCCCTGATCTGCTGGCTCGTAATAGTCTTTGCCCCTCTTCTGCGGCGTTCCCTGAGCCTTAGGTATGGGAGTGCTTTGTAGATGTGTCTGTTGGAACCGGGCTCCGCTCTGGGTTTTGATTGGTTGTGGTTTTCTGTAGCGGTCCAAGAAACTGTTTAAAGGCACATTAGTCCCAGCCTAGTTGGAATATTTTTCTAGATTAGAATATTTAAACGTCACATATTTAACATTGAACAGATGATCGTGAGTTGGTATTTTCCTTCTAAGCATTATCTCAGGCTAGACAGGAGAGCCCTAAAAAGACTCTTCATTAAGATTTAACTTGTCAGCTGCACATGGTGGCACACACCTATAATCCCGGCACTCCAGAGACAGGGGCAGGTGGATCTCTGAGTTCGAGGTCAGCCAGGTCTACAGAGTGAGTTTCAGGACAGCCAGAGATACACAGAAAAGCACTATCTCAGGGAAAATAATAGTAATGAGAAAAAGCTGGGCAGTGGTGGCACACACCTTTAATCTCAGCACACAACCAGGGCTGCCTGAGCAACCCTCTCAAACCTCGCCCTCCAAAAAGACTTAACTTGTCCGTGTGTTTTTTTAACACCAGGTGAAGGTCACCCTAGGAATGAGCTCTGCCTTCTGGATCTTGTCAGCTATGAGTCCCCCGAGATGACCTCAATAGCAAACAGCAGCAGTATGACACTGAGCTTTTCAACCTCCGTCTCCAGCTCCTACTACAGCCAAAGCTTGGAAGCCGCTGATGAATGGTTCTCTGATGACTCTCTAGAAGCCAAAAAACCCCCAAAGCCTCTAATTGGGGAGCCTCTGGCAGAAAAGGTGCTTGCGTACCTGTCAACCATTTCAATAGAAGAATGGCCTGGAAACACAATGAACATGATGTTCTGTAGCGATCAAAAAGATGACAGCAGTAAGGAACACTTCTTACAAAGAAACACAGAGATTGGCAAACTCAACCTTCAATGTGATATTGAATGACTTTTTTTTCCTTTTGAAACCTGGTATAGAGTGAAATCAGGTAAAGTTAAAACTGAATCGTGAACTTCTGAGTCTCCTATCATGTCTGTACTAATATTGCTTTTCTTGTTTTTTATCATAAAGTGGTTCTAGCCCTTAGTGAGTTTTATTTACTTGTTTTTAAAATTATTTATTTATCTTAATTTCATGAACATTGGTGTTTTGCTTGCATGTATGTCTGTGTGAGGGTATCAGATTCCCTGAAACTGGAGTTACAAACAGCACCGTGCAGGTGCTGGGAATTGAACCCAGGTTCTCTGGAAGAGCAGCCAGTGTTCTTAACCACTGAGCCATCTCTCCAGTCCCTCGTATCTTTTCTTTTCTTTTTCTTTTTTTTTTTTTTTTAAGATTTAATTATTTACTGTGTACATGGTTTTCTGCCTGCATATACGCCAGAAGAGGGCACCAGATCTCACTATAGATGGTTGTGAGCCACCATTCGGGTACTGGGAATTGAACTCAGGACCTTTGGAAGAACAGCCAGTGCTCTTAAGCTCTGAGCCATCTCTCCAGCCATCTCATATTTTTTCTTAATTTTTCTACTTTTTTTTTTTCCGAGACACAGTTTCTCTGTAGCCTTGGCTGTCCTGGACTGGCTTTGCAGACCAGGCTGGCCTCAAACTCACAGAGATCCTCCAGCCTCTGTCTCCCTGAGTGCTGAGATCACAGGCGAGCGCCACTGCACCTGGCTGCCTGGCTTTTTCTTAACGTTTTGATTTCAGAACTTGATGCATGCAGTGACAGCCGGCAACAGGTATATACAGCCAGAATTCACTTGAGGATTCAGAATCAGTGCATCTCTACCTCCAGGCACACCAGTTGGCTCTTTTCCTTCTGTGTCACCTGCTGCTACCCTCCTCTGCGTCCTCCATCTTGCTTAAGTTATCACTCTCTCTCCACTGCTGCTTTCAGAAAATTCACTCTGTGCAACAGCCAAAGCCATTTTTTGAAACAAAAGAGTAGCCACAGCCTCACAGTTCACTAAAAATACGTCTACACATTTGTTATGAGTTTCATATGCAATGTTTTCTTCCTGACAGGTTGATTTCATTTCAACCTATTCTCCCCAGGAAGTCAAGAGTCCAGGCGCACTGGCTAATCTGCTTATTTCCGCCTCGGGCTGTGTGCTTGCTCTTCCCTGTGACTCTAAACATCTGTTTCTAGATTTTTTCATGGCTCGCTCTTAAATATCATTTCTAGTTCACATGAGTAGAGTCCAGAAAGAACTGTGAGCACCATGGCGCTGGGCCGGCGTGAACAGGATGTGCTACACATATCCTGGTTTGCTATTTATTTTCTCCTGTATATTCATGCTCTGTCTGAGACCCTGATCATTCATCCCGGTGACCGTGAGCACAGTTCATACTCAGATCTTGATAGAAACGGTTTTGCGCTACAACATTCTGCTGAGAAATGGCCGCCAGCAGAGCCAGATCAAAGGAAGCAGGGCACGGTCCTAGCCCATTTCCTTTCGAGTAAAATCCTCACAGATTGATGGTGCCAAGCCAAAGGGACACCTGAGTCACTCTGGAAGATCCTTCTGCTCAGATTAGGGGACCTGTGAAGTAAAAATTGTAAATGGTTATGTTTATTATGCACACTGTAGGCGTTTACAAAATAATCATATATTAAATTACAGGAATCCATGGGGGGGGCTAGGAAAATGGCTCCTGTCCCCCCCCCAAAGAACCCCCATTTGGTTCAAAACCTACCTTCTGTGGCTCCCATGCTACCTAAGCCTCTGGTGTATCAAACCCTATATATTCATATTATGTCTGTTATGCTGATAATTCCGTCCTGTATACCACATTCAGGGGACCCTGCCTCCTCCAGGCTCTGCAGGTACACAGAGCCCTGCCCTTCCACCCACACACACATTTTAAAGAATCCTTAAAGGAAGGGTTCAAGGAGCTGGGCTGTGATGACACACACCATTAATCCCAGCATTTGGGACACAGGGCAGAAGCAGGCAGATCTCTAAGTCGGAGACCAGTCTGGTCTATAGAGCAAGTTCCAGGACAACTAGGGATACACGGAGAATCCCTGCCTCAAACACGCACATGCACACACACACACACACCAAAAATAGGGAGAAAGGAAGGAGAGAAGGAGGGAGAAGAATCCAATCAGGGCCTGATGCTGCACATCTTTAATCCCAGCACTCAGAAGGCAAAGACAGGCCGATCTCTATAGTTCAAGGCCAGCCTGATCTACATAGCAAGCTCCAGGCCAGCCAAGCTACACAGTGAGAACCTGTCTCACAAAAAAATTTAAAAAACAAATGAGAATCCATAAACCCATGCTGACAATTTTAAATCTTTAAAGAGACTGTCTTAGTCCACTCAGGTTTCTATAACAAAACAGCATAGACTATGCGACTTATAACAGAAATTTTCCTCTCCCAGGACAGAGGGTGGCAGTGAGGATGTGCTTCCTGGTGTATAGAGAGTTGTCGTCTTAGGCTTGGGGGTATGTGTTGGCCCAGTTTAGTGTCAATGAGGTTTTGAATCCAATCTCCAGTACTGCCAAGAAGTGGGGAGAGGGGGCATATAACAAGAGGAAAGGAAAGAAGGCTGTGTTTTCACGGCGTCTGCATGTGACCCGAGAGAGCTTTCTGAGCTTCCTCGCCTCCCCCAGGTCTTAGGAACCGAACCTGGAGCTTTGGGTATGTGAGGTTAGTGCTCTGCTACCGAGCTGCACTCCGAGCCTGCCAGAGCAGTGGTCCTCAGCCTTCCTAACGCAGAGACCCCTTAACAGTCCACGCTGTGGAAAGCCCCAGCCATAGTTATTTTTGTTGCTACTCAGTAACTGTAATTTTGCTACTGTTACGAATCATAATGTAAATATCTGTGTTTTCCGGTGGTCTTGGCTGACCCCTGTAAAAAAGGTCACTCGACCCCCAAAGGAGTCGATACCCACAGGTTGAGAATTGCTGCTCTAGAGCCTTTGTAAAACAAACAAACAAAAAATGCTTTGTATTCCAGATTGGCCTCAAATTCCTGATATTCTTGCCTCCACTTTCTGAGCGCTGGGATTATAGCGGTGTTCCAGCATAGCTGGCTATATGTATAACATAAAAGCATGTATATATGTATACACATAATATATACATATATATACACGCTTACACATATATATGTATATGCTTTTTTCTTTTCTTCCCTCTTCCTCCTTTTTTGAGTGGTAGAGATTAGATCCAGTTCATATATATATATATATATATATATATATATATATATATATATGGTGTGTGTTTTGTGTTGTGTTGTATTGTCACATACATACAAAGAAACTGGAAATAGGTCACATTAAGTCCAAACTAAAAGCCAGGCTTGGTTGCACACGCCTTTAGTCCCAGCACCCAGGGAGGCAGAGGCATGTGGATCTCTGTGAATTCGAGGCCAGAGTGGTCCATAAAGCAAGTCCAGGACAGCCAAGGCTACACAAAGAAACTCTGTCTTGAAAAAAGAAAAAATCCAAACTACAAGACAGAGCTCGTAAGACTTGGTTGGGTCCTTTGACTTGTGTACTGCCTCCTGCACCCACTGGAATGCCATCCCACAGCTTGGCTGAAGGGTGCCTGCGGGGTGACAGAGGCTCTCCGACAGGCTCCTCCCCTGCTGAGCCTCTGGAGCCAATCAAGGCTCCTGGTGGCTCTGTCACATCCCCCAACCCCATGCGTCCTGTCTGCTTTCAGAAGCCAGGATACTGACTTCATCAAAGCTTCTGGTCCGTGCCCTCTGGGGGAAAAAAAGCCACTATGGCTTTCACTACAACCAGGCTCGGTGCCAGGGTGAGTGTTGAGCCTGTGGCAGCGATGAGGCTTTGGGTTCAACCTGCAGCACCAAAACCAGCAAAACAGATTCTTGACCTTCAATACCCAGCACCAGGTGTCTGAGAACTCTGGGGCTCTCCACCGGAGCGGAATCTCACCGCCATTCAAACTCTGGGGGCCCTGCCCCGTAACTACTGAATGTGCTCAAATGTTAGCAGCGTTAGAGGATTCGACTCAAGCTCCCATGCAGGCATGAAACAACTGTGGTTGGCGTTGCAAGAGGGGCACAGGAGGAATAGCGCTATTCCGAGTAACATAGCTCTACCACCAGAGTGTCCAGCTCTGTGTTTGGTTGTCTGATTAGCCCACGTCCAGAAGGAAAAAGGGAAGGGGCGGAGAGAAGGCACGGAAGAGATCACTGTGCCAGCAGCATGGAGGGTTTTTAATTACTATGTTGTTGTTTGTATAGGGCTTTTCAAAAACTACATATTAGTATATTCATATCTGTATGTATATATTCATACATACATGTGCATGCTAAATCATATATGTACATAAATTATATAGGTAATATATATACACATGCACACACTATTTCCAAATACCTGTAACTTAACATCATCCCTTTGTAAGTAACATCATCATTTAAGAACAGAACCCAGGGCTGAAGAGATGGCTCGGTGGTTAAGAACATGGCTATTCTTCCTAGGGACCTACGTTCAGTTCCCAGCATATACGTGGTATCTCACAGTTGCCTGTAACTCCAGTCTCAAGGGATCCCACACCCTCTTCTGGCCCCTGAGGGCACCAGGCACACATTTGTAGTGGGAACATACACACAAAACACTCATACACGTTAAACAAAATAAGTAAATACATACAAGCACGGGAAAAAAAACAACAAATAAAAAGAGAAGAAAAAGGAATAAGCTTCCTCATTCCCAACACAATGTAAAACCAACCCGCCTCACGCTTGAGCCTTCCTTTTCTCCCTCCACTAGCCGGCCACTATGTTAAAGTTTCCAGGGACAGCCTGAGGTTTGTGGCAAGCGCGCCCTCTGTTGGCGACGCAGGAGCAGAACAGTTCTCACTGACCGTCCACGGAAGCTTTCCCCTGGTCTTTTCAGCCATTTCTTTGTTTTGTTTTTTAAGAAAACCATAACTAGGTGTGCAGGTCCAAGCCTGT